TGACTGTAACAGAGGGACAAATAAATCTGTGCCTGTGTCTACTTGTCCCCTCACCTTACCATAACTAAAATGTTATCGTGCAGGGTTGAATGACGCAGAAAAATCTTACATAACAGAAAGTTGTGTGCTATTTAAACAATATTAATAGTTTTTTGTTTGAATTGTGAAGTCATTTTTGTAGATGTAGTATTCAGCAAGTAGAAGTAATCAGAGAATGATTTAGCTGTTTACAGGCTCATGGCAGCAGCTGTCTAAAGCCTTTGTTTTCTGGACTCTTTCTGCAGTTGGTATATATGTTTTTTTAATTAAACATATGGAATCATAATCACTCAATACCAGGACTGACTTCTTCAACACTTTATAAATCTAATCATTTTTGGATGAGTATTTTAATTTCATTCAACAATATATTGCCACAGGATCTTTACCCAGCAGAAGTTAGGAGTTTACACATGTATTTTCTACTATTCTGCAGTTTTTTCCTGGACTACTCATCAATCAATCAGCAGGTTATTCAAGGTTTCCAGTCTTTCAGCCAGCTTTGCAAAATGTAAGGTGAGAGTGGAAAACAGAGGCTGCTTAGGGTGTGTGTTATTTGTCTACACAGAGCACACGTCAGATTCTAGGACATCCTGAGTTTGCTTTGTTGTTGGATGTGATGAGGTTCATCTTCATGCTCTGGTTTGTCTCATCAAATCCCATTTTGGCATGACAGTGCAGGGGTGCGGAGATTAATCAAACCTATGTAGGAAGATATCCATTTTAGATTTTTTTCATTATGGTGAATCATTTCATCATAGTTTAGCCGTATAAAAAAACGGGTGAGTTTTCTACACTCCACTGACCCATCAGAAAAAGACACCTCCCTCCACAGCAGAGGAGGAGACAAGCACGTACACTTTTTAAGCAGCTTCTGTTCGGTACTAGAACAAACTGCATGCATTAGACTGCATGGCAAATAAAAAGTCTTAAATCCAAAACAGGCTAAAATATTGTAAGATATTACTTACCTGTGCCAAGGAGGTTGTGTCTTTATCAGGTTTAGTTTGTTTGTCAGCAGGATTATGCAGAAACTATGGGATGGAATTTGGTGGAAGGAAGTAGAATGAGTCAGGGAAGAACCCGTTAATTTTTGGGCAGGTCTGTATCAGGGGATGGATTCAGGATTTTCTGTTCACTTTCTTCTATATTTCATTTTGAGATTTTTCATTTTTCAATATTTTCCTTTACTTCTCAGAAAGAGAATTATGCGTGAATCTCGACAAATAGAGCTCGACCTAATATAAACTACAATCAAATTTACTTTAATTATTAATGGAATGATTTGCTGGTGTACCTATCTGTTACTAACCGACCTGCCTGTCTGTGCTCTCACTGCACATGACTGGAGTCTTCAGTCAGGGAGACGCACACCATTGGAGACAACAGAAGAAGTTAACAAGCAGAAAGTTGTCTTCTAGCAGAGGCCAGAGCTCATTCTTTTATTTTGGGGGTGTAACGTTAATAAAAGGGCTGATGGGAGGGGGTGGGCTGTATCGGTTGCATGTTGTATTTCATATGCATATTGCATTTACAGGATTACCAACCCTACAGCTTTGATGTTGTCCAGGATAAATTGGACTGAAGACGGTGTCTCAGTCTGTGTTGCTGCGAACTGACCAAAGCAGATGTATTTAACTTTAATCCGTGGCAAACCGGCTGAGCCCGTTTTCTGTTTTCCAACAAAACCTCATCTCCCAAACTTGTGCATTTGCACGTTCAGTCGGGAGCTGCCCTGTTAAACCGTAGGGGTTTTTTTTCATTCTTGGTTGCTGAGCAGCTCTGCTGAAGCAGTTTGGGCAGCGCAACAGAGGGGATCAAGAGCACAAGAATAGTCACTCATTCAGTTTCCCCGCTGACACTTTTTTTCATCCTGTGTGAGGGCTGAAACCAGGAACCTTCAAAGCTCATTCTCGTGTCTCTGATCTTCAGGCTCTCGCCACTTCCTACCGCATATTTGACAACGATGATACCAGTGTGAACGTTTCCCCAGATTTATACAGTGTAAGCTCATTTTCCACCGTTCCTCTCCCTTTCCATCTTTTTCTCTCTCACATGCTTTCTCACACGATCTTTTTTCCGAGTTCCCAGGCAGGCTGCAGACCAGAATAAAGGTGTTTCCTATTATGCACTGTACAATAATCTTTACGGGCTATAAAAACAAGCATTACTTCATTAAAATGATATGAACATTATGTCCATTTGAAAGTTAAATGCTCATTTTCATAATGAAAATTCATCCCAAAACAAATGTTCTTCCATATGCAGAGGTTCATAACTAATGTATGAGGATATGAAGAATTAAATCCTTGATCAAACCTGGAAGTAGGACTGAGCACAGAAACAATGAGCTTCATTTGATGGTATGAGTTTTACAAATCCAAATAAAAATACATTTTTGATTCTGTACGTTTGCGTTAAGTGTTGTGGCAGCGCAGCTAACTCTCAAATGATCAAAACTTTAACAAGAGTCTACAGGAACAAGTCCTTGAAAGTATAAAGGACTGTGTGCTTGTCTATACCCTCCACAGTCACACATGTTGTTTAAGCTTTTTTTGATGTGATGCCTTTATTCACAGTTGATTGACTATTCATTGTGATGTGTGCGATAATCATTGGCCTGACCATGAACATCCTCAGAGGTGATTCCCGTTTATTCTGATGGAAACAGCGAAATTGCAAATTCCACAAATCAACTGTGTACATAAGTGTAACACAAATCCAAAAACAGAAATGTGTAAGCATACTACACAATTACTTTAAAGTAATAACAGACAGAACAAACATTTGTAAGTCGAGGTCCCATAAAAGTGGTTTGACTACTATCATATTGACTCAATTTTTATTGACTATGGAGGCCAAGACAATATACACAATTACAAATGTATGTAAATAGACTGTGTTACACATATTGTATAATTGGTAATGTGACATTTGTTACCAACAGAGAAGAAGAAGAATTTCTCCAAAATATAATTTGTTACTTTGTCACTTAAAGTTTTGGGGTAAGTTCTGAAAAGACAATAATGTTGTTGGTGCGAGCTGGAGCGTCACAGGTTTTGCAGGTCTTCAGTAATACACCACGGTCATGAAGAAATAGGTAGATGGTAGAGAACAGGATCACCACAGTTATTAAAATTCATCCTCTGGGGACCATGAATTTTTATGACGGATGGACTGACATGATCCCCAGACTTTCACTACTAGCATGGCCAAAAACAAGTTTTCCACCTTATGCACATTGTGTATTTGTTTATCTAGCTTGTCCCTGTGCAGCTCCCCATGTACTGTCTAAAGACGAGCTAGTTCAAAATGTACATGTGGTTGCACACCACAGTTTGTGTTTGATATATGTCCTCAGGCAAAACACATATTATTAAAAGCCACATTCTGTAAGCGCCTGGTATCCTGGGACATCTGTCTCGTGTAAAGTGTCACATAAGGAATGAGGAAGTGTGAATCAGCAGTGTTGATGTGAGAAAAAAGGTTGGATGCTGGGATTTCAATCTGTTAATAAATGATTTCATCAAGAATTCAGACGGCAGTCCTGAGAGGCAATGAGCACAACCTTTCCTTCTGCAAATATCTCTGTTAGGTAAGACTCTCCGTTCTGGCAATGACTCTTAGTAACCTAAAAAGCCATTCATTTGTACTCTTCCATTTTGAATGACCTCTGACTGATTGTTGAGACAGTTTAGCAGCAGAGACAGCATCCTGCAATTTAAATGATCTTCCTCAGACAATCAGTCACAATCAGAGAGTCTGTGTCACGCTGGAGGAAATCACTGCATTTTTGGATTTTGTGCATTTCATGCGACTCATGGTGTAAAACTGACAGCACTGGCTATTTTCCACACAAACTGATAATTTGTCAGACTGTGGGACAGTCGGCACAGATTATAAATTGCATTCTGACTCTAATCAGGATGTATTACAGTCTATAATCAACCTCCTTTCTTAGTGAACATTTGAGCCTTTTATCTGCACAAGCCGGAGCTGCTTGTTAACGTCACAGCTTTGTCTGCCGACTGTCGGCAGCTCAGATAAGGGCGCAGTGCTCCAGCCTCAATGAACTCTTGAGTTTCAATATAGCAGCTCAGGTGTGTTTGCCGACTTGTTCACAAACATCTTTTATCGTCCTGCAAGTGTGTTACTGACCTAAAATTCTAAATCTGAAGTCAGCGATCAAGGAGGAAACCGCAGAGGTTATTATTTCTAGAGGATAATGTCTTGTGAGTTTGGACACAAGTGTTGAGTTGAGGGTGTTCCTGTGGAGCTGAACAGGAGAGTTAATATCATCCACTCATCTCCTTCCCGTTTGTAATCAGGCCGCAGAGACACAAGAGGACCACTGGGCCAATTTGCACTAGATTTGCCCATCCTGTAAATTGTAAGGAGAAGTGCTGCAGCTTGATTGGAACCAATGATCCGCAAATATGATCTTAATATGAGAGTTCATCTTAACGCCAAGTGACTCTGATATCAAATGCTTTGTATATTTAATCTGACAGCTGTTTAAGTCCTTCGCTATGCAGGGATGAGAGAACGCTCGCAGCTCGCAGCTCACAAGAGCTCAGTTTGCAGTGAAGTGAGGCACGGAAAGCTGACTGGGACTTTTGCCTCTGTTGTTATTTTGACTGGATCATGAGATTACAGGGTTTGATGTAAAGGACATATCAGGAGTAAGTCGGATAATCTCGTATCATTAAGTTTGCAATGTGAGCATATTTACAACTGAGTCAGAAAAATAATCAGCTAAAATTATTCACTGTGTGTGATGCAATGCATAGTTTAATTCCCGCTAATGCGCCCCCAGCCTAACATTACACTGTGGTTGTCATGCTGCAGTAGACTCCAGAGCTGAGTTGCACATGTTGACTGATTCTGTTTTTTTCACTTACATAACAAAACAAATGATCTTCTTATCTGTTGTTTTATTTCGTGTTTTTTTTTCCCCGCAGAGATTGAAAAGTATGAAGGCGACGATTTGAGGAAAGATGGCGACATAAAGAAATACCTAGATATCATCAGCAATAAAAATATCAAGCTCTCCGAAAGAGTTCTCATTCCAGTGCAACAGTATCCAAAGGTAAGAGACACAACAACAACGTCTTATCCCAAAAAACACATGGTGGCATTTTAGGGTGCTATGTTTTACTTCTGTGGGAAGAAACTGAAAAGTAATGGAAAAAAGTTTTTGTGCCTTTTAGTTCTTTTAGTAGGAAATGTGTATTTAAGAACTTTAGGACATTTTTAGGTCACAGAGGGAATTTTTCATGATAAACATTTTGAATATGTAACTTTTAGGAAGAAAGAAGAATTGTAGGGGTTGTATTGAGATGTTGGTTGTTTCTAATCTTTTTGAGGTATTAGTGTACTGCCCCTTCTAAAAATGGCTGTTTGGAATGGGCTGTTTGTTTTGCCTTGGCCATGCTGGTTGCAGATTTCTTACTGAAACTGCAAAAGTGACCAGCAGTAATTAAGCTGTGAAAACATCTTTTAACTACAAGTCAGGATGCAACAAGAGCAGAGCTAAATTCATATGTCTGTGATATTGTTTCCTGAATTTCAGTCGTCAGTCTGAGTGGTGCCTCTCAGTCTGGACACTATAGCTTAAAATGCTGCAGCCATTGCATAAATACTTTGGGTACCAACAATCCCGATATAAAGTCATAGGGCACTGTCCACTTATTTTCAGTTCGTCATCAAAAAACAACGTTTTTACAGCCCTGAAGCAGCCAAGAGGAGAGTGAAGTACAATGACCATAAATCACTGTGTGACACAAAACACGGTATTCAGATTCATGCAATATCACGACTGACAAATGAAATGTGGCCTAATGAGGCTTCTCTATTGGGCAGCTGAGCAACAACACACAGCTGCTGGTGTTGAACCTGAAGGCTTTACCACCACTGGATCAAAGGAGGCCGCTTTACTGACTCTGCATTTACACCATCATGCAACAGGCAGCTAAGAATGATGACGGCAGTTTAACAACACAGATCGCTACAAAACATCTTTGATATAGTTTATTGATTTTATGTCCTGCCTACAAATACATAATATACTGCATACAGTGTGTTACTGTAGGCAGACAAACAGATCGATGTTCCAGTTCCAGGTCATTAGTAAGACCATTACATTCACCTATGCAAAGAGCAGTACTGTTTGTTGTTGAGAAATAATTAATATAATATAATATATATATATATATCATTTTTAATATGTATACTCTTTTTTTTTACATTAAGCCCTTTGAAATCTTTTCCGACCACAACAATGCTGTCGATAAGTTAACTGAACCTTGTCATGTCTCAACTGCTTTTCATTGCATGCTCGTGAAAATAAGGATATAAGATGATATGGTATACTTGGCATCCAAGAGTTGCTATAGACTATTAATTTTAAGGTCCCATAAAATGAAAACTTCCCTGTGTAATGTTTCACCATCTATGCCAAAGCCTTTCTTTGTATCATAATTGTACAGATTTTTCTTCCTTTAAAGGTAGGGTTGGTAATTTGTCTGAAACACTTTTTATCCAACTAGTTGAAATCCTTCTCACATGGAGGCAGCCATCAATAAACACACTCGTCATGAAAAACAGAATAAAGCCCGGTGTCTGTGGCCATCACAGGACTGTAATAAACATGACCAATCATTTCATTTAAATGGAACGAAATGATTGGCTTGTTTACCTGTCTGTCACTAAACAACCTGCCCGCCTCCACGCACCCTGCCCGTGCATTGACTGCACATGGTGTGTACTTCACTGTCAGTCTGCAACAATAGAGCTATTGTCTTCATCACTCAGCTCCTCTCGTCTTCATCACTTTGCTCTTCTTGTCTTCATCACTCTGCTCTTCTTGTCTTCATCACTTTGCTCTTCTCGTCTTCATCACTCTGCTCTTCTCATCTTCATCACTTTGCTTGTCTTGTCTTTATAACTCTGCTCTACTCATCTTCGTCACTTTGCTTGTCTCGTCTTTATAACTCTGCTCTTCTCGTCTTCATCACTCTGCTTCTCTCGTCTTTATCACTCTGCTCTTCTCATCTTCATCACTCTGCTCTTCTCATCTTCATCACTCTGCTTCTCGTCTTT